GAGGCGAGCTTCGGAAAACCAAAATCGTATCTGAGGCGAGCATTGCATTCCCACCTGCGCATGCACGCGGGGGTGAATTCCTCACGTGGGCCCTGTCGTCGTCGGGAGGGGCGGAAGCGAGAAACACGAGGGCTCCTGGTCCCTCAGAGGTCCAAGCCTGGCAGGACTTTGCCGCTCCCCCGGAATCGCCGACTCGAGCGGTCACCCCGAGAACGGGTGGGGCTGGGCAGGCCTGCTCGCTGTCACCGCGAGTAGGGCGACGACATCTAGACACTCCACTGCTCCCCGGCAGGGCCCATCCTCAGCCGAGGAGCGGTCTGTGCGCCGCGCCCTGCTGGCTTGGCCAAGAGGGCCTGTACACACGACTCCTGGGCCCAGCAAGGGCCCGGCCAGGGAGCAGTGGGTGTGTGCATGGATTTCGATCTCGTCGTCCGACCAAGTGCGCCGACGCTGACTTCTTCACAAGAAAAGAACTGGGCACAACCACAAGACGATCGTAAGCCCGCGCAGCTACCTTGGCTCTGGAACGCGCGCCTCCGTGCCCGGGGCGGCGACGAAGGCGGTGGGGGGGGAGGGGGACAACGCCAACCCACGAGGTCCGCGCCGCGCCGAGCCGCCGAAGATGTGCAGGGAGGCTTGCAAGCCGTCTTGTCCTTGCGTGGTTGCGGACCTCTAATGGCCTCCCAAATGAGGTCGGAGTAGACGAGTCGGAGGGTCTCGCCGCATCGCCGATATGTCGGCGTGGAGAACATTGAATTGAGCCCCACAGCGAGCCGCACTTGGAAGGGTGGGGTTCTTATCAACCTTTGCACTATGTATATGTCGTTAGCAACTCCTGGCAATGCTCTAGCAATGCCTACTGACCCACAAGCAAGTTCAGCCAAGTACTTCGAAGACCGCCTAGCTCTTGTAATATGTGCCAGGTTGTTCAATGTAGTGTACATTGTATTCAACATGTTACTTTGGTTTCAACGGTAGTACAACTGTTGTATGGCGTTGATAAGCTAGTTGCTTGCGTTTGAAGCGAGTTGCTATAACTTTACTCATGCGTTAACATCTTGTTGCAAACTCATACCAACATGTTGCTAAGTTATAGATAACCTATGTTAGCATATTTACTAGCATAGGTTAGTAACCTTCCCAATAACGTTACTAAGTGCGTTAAGGCGTTGCTTCAAGCGCGCGGGGGTATCTGAAAGTCTCTTACGCTGCGGGGTGACACAAGGCATTTGCGGAATATCGTTCCTCCGTGTTACTCCACCCTGCTCCTCCTCAGCCGTTTTGGCTGGTGGCTCATACAGGTGTGCGTACACGCAAACATGGCCACACAAGTTGATCTCGCCATTGAGAAAGTGACTCCTGATGTGGAATCTTTGTTGTCCGCTTATAGACAAGATGGTAAGCACATCCGTTGCTTCGACGGCCTGATGGATGTTTTCTCTAAGTTTCCAGACCTCAAGTGGACAATGCAGATGCAAAGCAAATACGTTGCGTGCCACAACCTCAACAGGGGCACGCTAGGCGTGTTGATGGGCGAGGCCTTGATTACAGCATCCAAAAATATAGCAGATGGGTATTCATTTAAAAGGGCGTGTGACGGTTGCTACGCTGTACAGTGCCCGCCTGGGACTGACATCATGAAAGAAACGCTGGCGTTCAATACCAACCTATGTGAAGTGTATGGGCTGCCTCGGTACGAGACCATATATGCAGCGACGTTTGGGGGGTCACACTCTACGTACTTTCTCAATGCAGTTCACGCCCAGCTACCATGTGATATCACAAGCATCGCCCCTTCGGGTAAGTTGGACCCCAGGGAATTGAGCAAAGTGCATGGTTTAGACAGGGCCTTGAAAGAGGGCCTGCTTTACACGGTAATATCCCACAAGGTGGTTGAGAAGTGGCCCGATGTCGTGCGCGTGGCCTATGCTGCTTTGAATGCGACGGGTATGGGTGGATCCACTGGGATGGAGGGTATGATGACGATGATGAGTACGTTCAAGCAGGCCACGGACAATGGCAGGTCAGAAGACGTGGCGTGGAAGGCAGCGGTGTCGACGGCAACCATGACCAAACCATTTTGGGCTGGATGGTCGATGTCACTACAGCGAGTGTGCAAGGTGACAACGGATGATCAGATGAAGGAGGCTCGCGACATGGTGGCATCTCTGTTGAAAGTACCTGCAACGGCAGCTCCCAACCACGGTTATTGCGGAGGTAGCTTCTTGGACAAGATTGCTTCTATGTGTTGGAAGAAAGAGCTGTGCGACTTCAGCAGGGTTCGTATCTCCTGCAGGGTGGGCCAAATGTTATCACCAGTGCACAAGATCATAGATGGACGAGCTAGCCTCATCAAGGACGCTCAGCTCACCAAGCTTCTCAACCCGAAGAACATCGAGGAGGTGAGGTTCGCCGAAAAAATGCTCGACGATGCCAGGGAGTTGTGCAACACGTACAACGTGGACCAGGGCCGCAGGGCCAAACTTTTGTGCGGGCACGATACCAGAATCGTGTACCACATCTTGAAGGTGACGCCCTTTATTCTCCTCCTCCTCCTCCTCCTACTCCTCCTCCTCCTTCCTCCTCCTCCTCCTCCTCCTCCTCACCTCAAGGTCGGCAATCAATCGCGCGAGGCTGTTGCGTACGGCGACTTGCCTCGCGCAGGGCAGGTGTTCATCAACGACTTGTCGGCGCTGATCGGCCAGGAGGTGGAGAACCCTTGGAAAGAGCCAGTGCCCGAGGACCAAACCTTCCAAATCATCCCCTCGCTCGTCCTCCGACTCCTACTCCTACTTTGGGGTGCTCGTTTTGGCGAATAGTTGGGGGAGAGAAGAGAGTAGTATTCATATTGATTAATTGTGGAGGAGGGGGGGAGGGAGGAGGAGCAGGAGGAGGAGGAGGAGGAGGAGGGGGGAGGAGGAGGAGGAGGAGGAGGAGGAGGAGGAGGAGGAGGAAGAGGAAGAGGAAGAGGAGGAGGAGGAGGAGGAGGGAGGAGGAGAAGGAGGAAGAATAGAAAAACGGGGGGCGTGAGGAACCGCAAAACGATGGGCGTGAGGAGCTTGAGCGGCGTGCAGGCACAAGAATTCTTACATCACGAGATGCGCTACGAGAACAAGTAAAGTGCCAAAACGCCATGCTCCACGAGAACTGGTAAAGCGTCAAAACGCTATGCGCCACGAGAACAAGTAAAGTGTCAAGGAGAGGGGGGGAGGAGAGGGGAGGGGGAGGGATGGGAGGAGAAGGCAAACGACCTTAAACAATCCAGAGGAGGAGGAGGAGGAGGAGGAGGAGGAGGAGGAGGAGGAGGGCCCTCCCGAGCGACTCCCCCTCCTCATCCCCGCGCACCCCTCCTGTCATCGGCCTCCACCGTCAACAGTCCGTCCTTTTTTGTGGCACCTTCGCCAGGATGAAATTCCTGAATATGGTGTTCCCGATCCAGCTGGGGGCGATCCCGCTCCAGCTGAGGGTGCTTCGGGCTCTGCTGGGCCAAGTGCTGGACCGACTGCAACGTCTGCAGCTACCCCGCACAAGCCTATGTCCCTGCAGTCCGCCGAGCAATCGAAGTCTCCGATGTACCAGCTCCGTGTGCATGGGTTTACGGAGGGAGCGTATGTCAAGCGCAAGAAGCCTCAGGATGACAAGACTGAGCACGGCACCATATATATGATTTCTGCAATGAATGATTCATCAGTGGTGTTGGCCCCTACTGGTAGGTTCAGAGAGTTCCACACGATCACGTTGAGTCAACAAAGCTTGAAAGAGGGTTGGGCACCGACCACGACAAAGCCGCAGTTCCGAATCAGTTACGCACCATGCAGGCCAGATACCAACCCAGAGTTTGTTAAGCAGCACATCATCGGGCAGTTGATCGATGCGCTGGCTGGTTTACCTCAGAGATCACACAATTCAGGATTCATGGAGGAGCTGGATATCTTCTCGTCGCCGAATACAGTCACCGTGAGGGCCGACATCCCGAAGGACAAGCTGACTTTGGTACCAGTGACCATGAATATCAAAACGAGACCTGCTAAAGATAAATGTGACCCTAAAGCATGAAACCTTGGCACCATCACGTCGGACCCGAACACGACTGCCTACGCACTCCATCCTTGCATCGTGCTTCCCAAGGTGAAGGAGGATAAGCCTGGATTCACCCCTCCGTATTGGTTTGTACAAGAAGCTGGGGAAGGCCAGAAGGGCAACATGAAGCTATTCTTGGAATCAATTCCGATTAGTACACCGAACGAGAAGGCTGAGGTAAAGGTGCCCGTGCTCAGGAACGCCGTCAGCCTCAAGACTGGAGATGAGCTGTTGATTGTGAAACAGAAAAAGAAACAGCAGGGACCGCCCGTGAAAAAGCCCAAGATCAACTGATTGGCATGTTCACGCATCGTCTTAAGGCCAGGCTGTTGAATGACCTGCAGGTTTCACTGCAGTTCGCCCCCCCTGCGATCGGGCTCTGGCGTGCACGTCGGGTTGAGGTGGGCTGAGGAGGTGGGGGAAAACACACAGAGGAGGATGAGGTCATGCATGTCGGAACGCAATTGCCCGAGTCGTGTCTCTCGCTTTCTTTGCCAAGCGTGTGCAAACGCGCCTGCGCCAGGATCAGATATCATTTTTTTTGCGCGTGCGATGCCCCGTTGATGCAGCCAGCCATGCTAATCTTCTGCACTCGAGAGGTGTTGGCGCAGAAGCAAGGCACCGAGGGGAAGCGTGCGCACTTTGATTCACGTGTAGTGAGTTACACTTGCTTACGTTCAGCGCT